GTCTCCCACACTGTAATTTTGTTTGGCCTCTGTTAATCGCCTTGAAAAGAAAGCACAGGGCAACAACTGTTTTGCAGGATTGCCAAACTGGGACAGAACCGCTCCCACCCCAGTCTCAGAAGCATCCACCTCCACTACAAACTGTTTACAAGGATCTGGCTGGATAAGAACTGGTGGGGAGGCGAACAACTGTTTTAATGCATTGAAAGCTGCAGCTGCTTCTGGTGACCACACAAATGGTTGATTGGTGGATGTGAGTTTGGTCAGTGGTTGGACCACTAGACTGTAGTCCTTGATAAACTTGCGGTGAAAATCGGCAAAACCCAGGAAACGCTGGAGATGTTTACGGGTCTTGGGTTCTGGCCACTCCACCACTGCTTTTGTCTTTGCTGGGTCTGATCTAATCTGTCCCTCTCCAATAATAAAACCCAGGAAATGCACGGTTGAACAATGAAAGTCGCATTTCTCTGCCTTGACAAATAGTTTGTTCTCCAGCAGTCGTTGGAGAACTTGCCTAACATGACTGACATGCTCCTCCTTGGTCTTGGAGAAGATTAATATGTCGTCTAGGTAGACAAACACAAAATGGTTCAGGAAGTCCCTGAGGACGTCATTCACTAGAGCCTGGAAAACTGCTGGGGCATTAGTTAGACCAAACGGCATTACCAAATACTCAAAATGGCCTACAGGGGTCTTAAAGGCAGTTTTCCATTCATCCCCATCACGGATGCGCACCAAATAATATGCATTACGCAAATCTAGTTTTGAAAAAATAGTTGCACCGTGAAGCAGTTCAAATGCTGAAGACATGAGGGGTAACGGATACTTATTTTTAATGGTAATGTCATTCAGGGCCCGATAATCAATACAAGGACGTAAGGTGCCATCCTTTTTGCCAACAAAGAAGAACCCTGCCCCTAAAGGGGATGAAGAGCGGCGAATAAGACCAGCCGCCAGGGAATCATTTATGTAACTCTCCAGAGCCTCTAGTTCCTGTTTAGAGAGATGGTACAGGCAACTGGAGGGGAGTGGGGCATCTGGGAGAAGGTCAATGGAGCAATCATATAGTCTATGTGGGGGCAGTGTCTGGGCTTGGGTCTTGCTAAAGACATCTGCTAGATTGTGATATTCAGAAGGAACCTGTGACAAATCCGGGGTTTCTACAACCTCGTCTTTGGTGTCAGATTTGGGTAGGGCAGAGCAAAGGCAATTTCCTGAACAAAACGAACTCCAACTAATTATCCTCCCCATAGACCAATCTATATGAGGGTTATGGAGGACCAGCCAGGGGTGTCCGAACACAATACTAAAACTGGAGTTGGGAATAATCTTAAATTGGATTAACTCCCTGTGATTACCCAAAGTTACTGTCAAAACTGAGACTGTTTGGTGGGAAACACAAAACAATAGTTTGCCATTTAAACCTTTTGCAGACAATGGCGGACTGACAGGTTCAATGGGAATATTCAGCTGCTTTGCCAATTCAGCATCAATAAAACTGTCTTCTGTCCCAGAGTCTATCAAGGCAGCTAGAGAATGGGAAGAGGAGTCAAGACACAGTTTAACTTTTACCTGAAGATGATTTGAAGATTGGGGGAACTCATTATTGCTCATTAGACTCCACACTTCTAATGAGCGCTGTCTTTTGGCCGCTGATGACAGCTGGTTACTCTGTGGCCAGGCTTGCCATAATAGAGACAGTCACCAGATTGGAGTCGCCTCAGTCTTTCTGCAGCTGATAGACGTGTGCCTCGAATCTGCATCGGTTCTCCACCAGAAGGCTCAGGGGTAGGTGTCAGTTCAGGGGAAGTGACAGAGGGGGCGCTGTGGGCCCCAATGACTGGTTGGACAGACTAAGAAATAGGAAGTCGCCCGCTCCGCTCACTGCGTCTCTCACGCTGCCTGTTGTCTAGTCGGATTGACAAGGTAATTAGGGAGTTAAGATCGGCTGCTTCTTCTTTGAGGGAGAGTTCATCCTTTAAGGCTTCATTTAGGGCGTTATAATATACTCCTCTGAGAGACCTGTCGTTCCATCCGGACTCGGCTGCCACGGTGCGGAACTCCACAGAAAACTCTGCAGCACTTCGGGGACCTTGGTGGAGCTTTATCCTGACCAGCATGGTCAGGATGATCAAACACTCTGCTTATTTCGGAGGAGAACTGAGCAAAGGTGAGAGATGTTAGAGGGTTGGCGAAAGAGAAAGCAAGCGCCCATGCTAGTGCCTGATCCCGCAGCAAACCCATAACATAATATATTCTTGAAAGGTCAGATGCAAAAGCCGAGGGTTGCTGGCTGAAGACCATTTGGCACTGTAGCAGGAAGCCTCGGCATTTGGAGAGCTCACCAGAAAATGGAGGTGGATCGGGGACATACGCTCCGCTGTGGTTCACAGATGGGGCTGCGGCTTGGGAAAAATCCGAAGGAGAAGCCGGTTGTGGCTGAGGAACCTCGGATGCTGGAGCCTGGGGGACTAGAGGCAGTTGTGTGCTACCTGTGCGAGCTCCATGTGAATGGTCTGGCTTGCTGTCTCCAGTCCAGTAAGCCTGTGCTCGTACTGTCCCAAAGCTCTCCCTTGCCGTGTTATGAGATCCCTCAGGGATTGGACTTCTGAGGTGGGGGCAAGCAGCTGCTCAGCTGGGTCCATGTTGTCTGGTGAGATTGTACTGTCAAACTCTACAGGCACGAATGGACAAACAGAGCAGTTGGCACAGTTAGAAGGTTTATTTTACTCTTGGTCAGACAGGCAAGGGTCAGATCCGTGAAACCAGTCAGAGTTTGGGGGCAGTCCTTGAATCTGTGGTTGGGCAGGCAGGAGGTCGTCACCAGGGAGTCCAAGATAACAGACGAGGGTGAGGGTCCAGATAATCAGACGAGACACTGGGGGAAGAAAACAGGCAGGTTTAGGAGAGGGAACAAATTTGGCTTAGTCAAAACTAGACTTGAGCAGACAGATGGCCTGAGAGTGTTTACCTCTAGGGGTTAGACAACAATCTGACGGCGAGCAGGTCCTTATATTGGGTCCGCTGCTGATCAGGGAATGACCTGCAGGTGTGAGGGTGTGAGGGTCACAGCAGCTGATGTGACACTACCCCTCTACCTCTCTATTGCCACAGACTCTCTACCCCTTCTATTAATTCAGCTAGCCAATCTGAATCGTTTGATTCCATTTCACAAGCGAGATCATCTGTGGTAGTAGCACTAGACATCTTCAAGGCATGTGAGTAAAACTAGCAGCACACACTCCGCTTTGATTAAAAAAAAAAAAAAAATAGAAATATAAAAAAATATAACCGTGGATGTCTGGGGGACAGTGATTCGCCTACATGTTATGAATGCTGGCGTACCATAAAGAATAAATAATGAACAGTTTAGTTTGTGCCTTCAAGTCATTGCCCATAGGATACCTTACTTGGATATAACCTAATAGAATATCTTCAGAACAGTTCCAAATGATGTACACATGATGTAATAACGTAAAAACAAGGGGCCAATGTAAAGAAAAACAGCGTTCCCCTTTAATGATTAATTAGAAATTATGAAGACACATTTTATTAATTTATTTCATTTAATTTTACGTTTCCTTGTGTAACTCCTTATGGCAGTAAAGCACTTTATCCAGTTTGCCAACAGCCATAAAACCTTACAAGAAAAAAAAGACAATACTTTTTTTTTACTTTTAACAACACTTTATTTACACAATTCAAACATATCAACAATTGGTGTAAAACAAGTGTAAAATCACTGTTAAGGTAAAAACAAGCGTCAGTTAAAATCATTAAATTAGGAGCTTGTTAAAATGCAGTTCTCCATCATCTGACACAGTACATGAAATATTTTTAAAACCCCACAACTGAATAAAATCCTTCATGTTTTGTGTGGCTCTGTGGAAGTGAAACTCCAGCCTGATCCTGGCTTTAACGTTGCACCTCCACAGAGCCACGGCATCAAGGTGAGGTCTCTCTCGCAGAAAAAGAAGACACAATCACTTTCTCTGTTCGAAATCCCGGAACACGTCCTTAGAAGGCCAGATTCGAAGGACGATTACGTCATAGCACGGTGCCGAGGTCTGGTCGGATTTCAAGAGTCCTTGTTATGCGACCTTAAAATGCATCCTTCTTTTTGCCCGATATGAAGAACGGGTCCGATGTATCCTCGTATCCTTGGTTTACCCAGGATTCATTGCGAGACCAAGCAAGCCGGCTGCTCCCTTATCAGAGGAAAAGTTTATCTAAAGGTTTTTATCTGTTACTGTGTAAATGGGTTTGGCTGTAATTTAAAGACAGATTCTAATATATCTGCAGTGGGGACTGTAAATCTGATGGGAGTTAAAAAATTTTTATTGCTGTTTTGCACAATAATGCTTAACTAAGTATTTTTTGTTGTTGAATATCAAAGATTTTGCAGATATTTTTTATACATACATTGTTTAGATTTATTTATATATTTCTACCCCTTTTATAGAATAGAACTCCCTTTATTGTCCCACAATGGGCAAATTTACAGCAGCAGAAAGATTATTGAAAATGGTCACACAAATGTGGACCTTAGAAAAATATATAAGAATAACATAATAGGGAAGAGTTAAAATATAAAAAATAAAATACTGTGTTACACTGTAATACAAGTGTTTTAACAATATCAAACTGGAGAATAAATAACCAATATGCAGCTATGGACATTTTTACAGTAATGGATATTTGAAAATAGCAGTAACATCAGAGATGTGCAAAATGACAGCAGCATGTTATTTAACTGACTAAGGTTTCTATCATTACATTTGATTTTATTTGTTCCTGCTCCCGGTGGTTGGCACCTTTATTCCACTCTGGATTCTTGTGAGTGTAGCATTTGTTCACTTTATAATAAAAGATAAATAAATAGACAGTTTTAAAAACTTCGGTTTTCATTCTTTTCCTGCTTTGTGTGTCATCTTCCACGGTTGCTAAGCAACACAGCATACGGCGGTAAGAACCCGCCGAAGGGTAGATTCATTCGAATTCACAGCCAAAACACTTCCGGTCTCCTTATATTCACGGACTTCGAAGGATCCAGTCTAGGTAGACCGGGTCCTTGGATGATGCAGCCCAGGATTTCGAACAGAGCCACTAAGCGTCTAACCGCTGCCTAGCAACGACCGACCAATAGGAATCGTGATTGTATGCGCGTATAAAAGGATTTTGTTTTGTTTGTTGATTAGAGCAGTACCAATCGGGTGTTTACGCTTTAATATTGTGTTTTAAGACGAATAGATCTGAACAGGAATGAGTCTGTCTTTAAGGTAAGCTGTTGTGTCGCATATTCGTCTGCTCTCTGCCAGAGTTTAATGACTGGAAACCTATAAACCTGGCTGGTAGCCGCAGCGGGCTAGCAGTTAGCATTTTGATTTCCATTACTTCCTACTCCGAATGTTTTATTTCCCGATGCTTCCGCTGCACTTATGAGCTTATTTAGCAAACACCGAATAACATCAGCATTATAATATAAGGATCATTGTGTGGATTAATTGATAAATGGAGAGTTTTCAGAAAGGTTGTGGTAATTATTAGAGGTTATTTTAAAAACAGCTCCAACATGGCCATTGTAATCAGAGGTAAAACACATGTTTTGTTTTTTTCCGTTTTTATTATTAATTCCTTACTGATAATTTATTTGCTTTCACTTGCTACACAGAGATGGTAGATTTGTAATGGGTTTAAGGCAGGCAAGAGCGGAACATTGACAGGATGTTTCCCCCGGTTTGCATCTGAGGGAACACCGGACAAACCGGAAACAACAGACTCATAAAAACCTGCATCTCCTCTGCTCTTCACCTTAAAAACATTAATAAAATGCTCTAAATTGTTCTCTCGGACGGTATAACAAACTGTGAAAATCGATTCCACTGCCTTTAATTCACTTGATTAAAATTTTAGATTATATATTAATTCCACACCAATATTGCCCATCTTGATAATTGCACAATACAATCTGATTAAAAATGCAATAATAAATTAATTAGCAATTTTCTGGAAACCTAGAAAACTTCATGATTATGATAAAGCAGGGGTAACCAATTAAAAATCAGCGGGATCCGAATAAAGAAAATTATCAACCAATAAAGGTCCGGAGACATTTTTATTTATAATCCGTTACTTTAAACAGAATTTAACACTGAAAAAAAATGGGGTGTTCATGCATCCATGGTATAAAAATTTTAATAATTAAAAAAATAAAATAAAACATATTCCCATCTTAAAATCTAAAGTGTTTTTGATGTAGAGAACAAGAATCATTCAGTTTGGTATATAGAGAATTTCCCGATTCACATATTTTATAAAACACCTGAACTGACCATTTGTTACTTTATTATCTTTTTTCTGTCTTAATGTTGGCAGTGGGCTTTAGGCTGCCATGCAAGGCTTTAAACCTGGGTTTGAATGGAGACAAAGCCATTCTCAAGCACATATCAAGGTGCTCATTTTGAGCCTGGATCCATATTTATTTTTGATTCTGTTAATGGTGGAGAATCCTGCTTCACAGCAGCAGATTGAGCCAAACATCCTTTAAATATTCAGGGTCATCTTTGAGCACGCCATTTCACTTTTCTTTCACCAGTTCACCACAGATCTTCCAGCAGTCCACACTTTCTCTGCCCTCTTTTTCTCATCATCTTCTCCTTCCTTCCCATCGCCCGGCTTGCCACAGGTTTTCCTGCTGTGTCTAAAAGTAGCAGCAGCAGCAACCCAGACTGACAGCTGCTCATTGGCTAATTTGTCGTCAGACAACATGTATTTTATAGCAATTTCGAAATGTTTTAAATCAGGTTGGGTCCGGATTAGTCAGCAGGTGGGTCCGGATCCGGACCGCGTTACCTCTGTGACAGACCTACTTTGAAAAAGAGATATTCCTGTTAGTTCAGATACAATTGATAAAGCATTCTCAAAATGTATTAAATGGCCAATTCTACCTAAAGTCAAAGAAACACACTTTAAACTTCTAAACACAATTTATCCTGTGCCAGAATACAAAAAAAAAACAAGATTTGGTTATGAGATGGATCAATTTTTTAAATTTAATTCAATTCAGTTTATTTCTATAGCGCCAATTCACAACACATCTAAAGGCACTTTACAGTTCACCAGATCATACAGTCAGATTGATTCATAGTTTTATATCTAAGGAAAATCAGCTGATTGCATCGACTCATTGACTCGAAGGCAATCCCTCACACTAAGCATGCTTGTAGCGACAGTGGAGAGGAAAACTCCCTTTTAACAGGAAGAAACCTCCAGCAGAACCAGGCGTTCAATGTGCCTTTTGTAATGACAACAGTGAAACCCTTGAAGATCTGTTTTACCTGTGTCCTCCTACACATCATCTCTGGAAAGAGATGTACCAGTGGATTTCTTTGAAAATTAATGATGTCCCCCCTTTTGCCCTAAATTAGGTCATTTTCTATATAAACCATCTTCCCTGCCCGTTTCTGATACCATTAATGTCATCCTGCAGCTGGGTTCATTTCGTATTCACTGTCCTAAATGGAGAAATGCTAAACCCTCTTTTCATTGATTTATCAATGGCTTTAAAACCTTTTTTTTTTATCTCTTAAAAACATTTTTTTTTTAAAAGACAAAACTTTTTTTTGTTTTTCATATTTCTATTGGCTCTATCTTTGTCAGATTTAAATGTTTCTTGACATAAATCCCCTGCTATTTGTAATACTTTATACTTTTCCATTGTAATTTATCTTCATCTGTTTATGTACATTTTTGCCATCCTTTTTCATGTTAATGTTATTGGCTAATTTAAAAAAAATATTAAAATTAAATTAAAAGAACAGACTTTTCAAAAATAAAATATAATATATTTAAAAATATATAAAAAAAATTATATATTTTACTTCTTTTCATCCTCAGCTGCAGAACTTCTTATTTCTAAGGAAGTTCTAACATAGTTTAACCTTTTTTGTGATTAATTTGCATCAGTAATCTTACCGTTTGTTTGTTCCTCAACAGAACTGAGCCTGCAGTGGACAAAAACAAGCGCAAGAAGAGGAAAGAGCTGACAGAAGATCAGAAACATGAAATTAAGGAAGCATTTGATTTATTTGACACTGATAAAGATAAAGAGATAGACTATCATGAGCTGAAGGTGAGTGGGAATACAGCCACCAGTAGCTCTCTGTTAATATGATCAAATGGGGGTGGGGGGGGGGGGGGGGAAGAGTATGTACGATTATAGCCTCAATCATTGGCTTGTAATCAGGGGCTGATTTAGGAAATTTTGGGCCCCAGGCAAAGACAAACATGGGGCCATTTGAGTTGAGAAGATAACACATACAGATAAAGAAATTTTAATAGAACAGACATACATTATTTGTTTTACATTTTGTCCCTATATTTTGTACTTGGCTGACTTTTCATGCCATCTCAAAAGAAATAAAAGATTTTCTCCAATCACTAAGCTCACTTAGCTGATTGCTTCTTCCTGTGTTTCCAAAAAGGCGACAGCAAAAGTAAATAACCCAGTCCTTCTTTTCACTGTAGACAAGCCATGATCTGCTTCTCTGTTCTCCATTTTTCATTTGGATGAAATAATATCTGCATGAATCATGACAGCAGATAAGATAGAGGAGAGCAGGAGGCGGGGTTACCAATCTACTTGCTCTGGAGAGCAGAGTTTGCTGCTTTTAGAGGTTGTCTGCAAAGTCTCCAGTAGCAGAAAAAAGTTAAAAAAAAAGTCTCTAGATTTGGCGCTAGGCGCTTTTTTTGAAATTAAAGTGCTAGAGGGGTCTGAAAAGTCGCTAAATATAGCGACAAAAGCGCTAAGTTGCCGACACTGCTCTTTGCATTGTTTGTTTTCAAATAGTTTGCTGCTGTCTGTTTGGACCTTTCTGAACATGTGCAGCAAATAGACTGATCCAATATGTTGGACACTGAAGGGGGGGCTGAGACACACTTAAAAACCCCTTGAAGATCATCTTTTCAGTCTTTGATTTTCACCTTTTCTCTTAACCTCCCAATCAGCTAAAAACTCAATACAGTCATTTAACAATATTACACCATGGAACCACCTCAAGAGGTCATCGCAGAACATAGAATAACGCTGCTTTCGCCAGACTAATATGCCCCTTTTATCTCAAGGCACTTTACAATTCAATTAGATCATCCAATCGGATTGTTTCAAAGTTTTCTCTCTACACTGGAAGAATGATCTAGAAATAAGTAAAAATTCCATTAAGTGTATTAATTATTCAGTCATTTACCTAATTTGAGTAGGTAAATAGTTTGCCAATGGAGTGAGTATTTTTACTCTTAAAATAAGATAATTAGATAATATGCACTGTAAATAAGACAATGCAATTGTTTTTTTCTCATTTTAAGTGTAAATTGTCTTGTTCCATTGCCAACATGTCTCTTTTACCTCCTTAATTCAAGAACAAATGCATTTATTTTAAGAAAAAATGACTTATCTAGATTTAGATTTATTTCCAGTGTAAGAAAAACCAGATGATTGCATCGACTCATTGACTCTTCAGCAATCCCTCACACTAAGCATGCTTGTAGTGACAGTAGAGAGGAAAAACTCCCTTTTAACAGGATGAAACCTCCAGCAGAACCAGGCTCAGTGTGAACGGCCATCAGCTGAGGCTGAGTGGGGTTAAAGGAGAGAGAAACAGATTTGCAGAGAGGACTTGGATTTATTGATTTTCTAAGGTGTGAAACCCGGTCTTTATTAGAATTATATTTCCCACCAGGTGGCTATGCGCGCACTCGGCTTTGAGGTGAAGAAGGTGGATGTTCTGAAGATTCTGAAGGACTATGACAGGGCGGGCAATGGCAAAATTACGTTTGATGACTTCAGTGAAGTTGGTAGGTTGACGTCTGACAGGACACACGAGGCTGAACAGAGGAGCTCTAACATCCCATGTTTTCTTTAACCGTCCACAGTAACAGATCGCATCCTGGAGCGTGACCCGAAGGAAGAGATCATGAAGGCTTTCAAGCTCTTCGACGACGACGAGTCGGGGAAGATCAGCCTGAGGAACCTGAGGCGAGTCGCGCGAGAATTGGGTGAAAACGTCAGCGACGAGGAGCTGCGCAGCATGATCGACGAGTTCGACACGGACGGAGACGGAGAGAGTACGTGAGATTCCAGCATCCTTCTGTGGTGCATTGTGCAGGTTAGACAGTTAGGGAAATGACCTGACCTGGTTTGTGTTCTTTTGCAGTCAACCATGAGGAGTTCCTCGCCATCATGGCTGCAGACTCCTGATGGATGATTCATTCAGATTGTGAGTAGCTGAAGGACTGTGGCTCCGATGTTTACTCTCATTTTATCCACCTGGAGCCTTTTGTTATTTATTACGTGGCAGCAGTGGACTGTGGGCGAACATCCCCCAAACATCTTAGTCACCCCTGAACATAAACGATGCTGGCCTCTGACACAGACTCATCTTACTTTTTCTGTTTCCTCCTGCATCTTTTTCACTCAATGACTCTAAAGTCACACCTGGTTGAATATAAATAATATGAATCAGGAACTTCATGTTTTTTTCCTCTTGAATAAAGTGAAAGGTCTGTAGGTTATTGTCAGAAACAGCTGTAGATCAGACTGAGTTACTGTTTATCCTGACATGTCAGTGTGTGGATGTGGTATTTATTTTGTTACACAATAAACAGTTTTTTCCAGCCGATCACATTGTTCTTATTTTAGGTCACCGGTTATGACCTTGCTGAATTAGATCCTGCTTGCTTTGCAAAATGCCTCTGTATCAGATATTAAACCAGAAATCCTGCAAGCGAAAAGGAAAATGTTTGATAGAATAATGACAGGAAATGAATCCCCTTAAGCTTCACCTTTTTTTTTCTTTTTTTTTTTTAAACCTGCCTGTCTGCTTAGTCATCATCTGAATTTTTCTTTTCTTTCTTTTATTTTTTTTGGAAATCCTGTTTAGATTTTCACATTAGCAGCTTTCAGTGGAAAAAAAAAAAAAAAAACTTCTGAACATTTGTTTTCCAATACCATAAAAAAATCTCCAATGGAGTAAGGATATAAAACTAACCCTCTATCACCACCCAGAGGCGCCTCTTGATACATTAAATTTCCAAAAGTGTTGTCTACACATATAAATAAAATCGTTAGTACTTGTTTAATAAAAGATGAATCCACAACTGTCAGAAATAACTTTAATCTACCAAAAGTAATAATACATAAAATTAACAGGTCAGATGCTTCATCATAATTAAAATAAACTCATGAACGAGTTCTGGTTCTCTTAGCGTAATATTTTGTTGATCAACCTTTTAAAGTCAACCACTCCAATCAAATAATAAGACTTCTGCTCCTCATATAGAAACTGCTCCAGTTGTTTCAGGTTTGATGGCTGTCTTTTCCAGACAGCCTGTTTCAGCTCCTTCCAAAGATGCTCAATAGGGTTTAGGTCAGGGCTACTAAAGGCCACTTCAGAATACTGCAATGTTTTCCTCTTAGCCATTCCTGGTTGTTTCTAACTGTTTTGGGTCATTATTCTGTTGAAGACCCATTACCTGACCCAGCTTTCTGACATTGGGCAGCACATTGCCAGTCTTGAGATTTTATTCAATCCTGCAGAGATTCAGATTAATCAAATCAGCCCAGAGCATAAAGGAGGCTCCTCCACACACCAGTAAACCACAATAATGCATTTTACTATCACTTGGAAAGATACAGTAAGAGATTAACACAGTAGAGATTAATACAGTAGGACTATATCTCTTTCATCCTCACAAGGCGAGTCATATAAATTCAACTCAATCATGTATTTCCCCAATTCCCCTCACAGGTTTCCATTTAAAATGATTCTGTTTCAATTTTGGAGTTCTGATATGAAATCAGACAAAGGTTATCCTTAGAATTTTAAGGGAAAATCATATTTGAACCAATATAGCTGCTGAGCAGTTTTTTGTTGTAAAGAGCAGAAAGCGGCTTAATTAAACAACCTAGTTTTCAATTTTTAGAAGAAATTCATATTTCTTTCTTCTTCTGGTTCCAAAAACTGTAACTTTTAAGATGTGCTACAGTGAACCTGAGTAAAATGTGCAGTACTGAAATTCACCAGATAGTGGCAGCATGTGCAGGAAAGCAGCCTGTAGAATTATCGTGCAGAAGAAGTTGTCACCACTAGCTGTTGCTAAACAGACTGATGTTCCAGGGATGTAAAGCTCTGACTGACTTCCAGACGTATGAAGGACTAACTCTGCCATATTTGGTCCTTCATACTGACGTTATTTGTCCCGGTGTTGAATAAAATTCTGTTCCTCTTATGTCGGGAGCGCGCATTGAAGCCAGAGAAGCGGACATGGCGGATGAATCCATTTTCACGGCGCTTCTGATCAATTTCTCGCTAAAAACAACTCCTGTTGTTTACAAAATTGTAAAATAAATAAATAAACGAGGTCCTTTTAAGCTTTTTTATGTTTTTTAAACATAAAGAGAATCTGTCTTTTTCCAACTTCTGTCTGAATTAATTCACCTGCAAGTCTTTATCAGTGTTTATTCCTCTGTTCATCAACAACAAACCCTGTGGATTTGGTGACATTAGATAATTATTTGAGTTATGAGAGGGAAATCATATATTTTAGCAACCTGATATAAGCTGTTCCCTCTTTATGATCTTTATGAAATATATTTTATGTTTATCTAACAATTAGCAAATATTCCAAAAAAGATTCCCTTCTCATAACTTTGGTAAATAACGATCAAATGTCCCCAAATCCACAGAGTTTGTTGATGAAGAGAGGAATAAACACAGTTAAAGACTTGCACATGAATTAATTTCTTCCCATCTTATGGAGGGGGTATTCTTATGTGTGATAGCATGTAGTATACTAGAAATTTCTTTAATTCAATAATCTGTCATATTTTACATTAGAACGGGATTTAGCAGAAAGTCTACACTCTCATCTTCACCCTCAGGGCTAAGCCCCTGATCCCTGAGAATCCTAGTTCTTCCCCTGAGAGGGACAAAACCTAGAACAAATACTGTATGTTTATTCTATTCAAATTTCTATTTCTAAAACGTGTATCTGTATAATGGCTCTGTTTTATTTGTTGTCTGCTCAGTTCAAAGTCCCCCCTGCCTGTCTTTGTCTAGGGCCCCAAATTTCCCAAATCCGCCCCTCTGACAAGACTGTTTCATCAGCTTCTGGGTTCCAGTTCTGACCCAAAACCAGAGGAAGGAATCTGTGATCCTCCCCATCCCTATGAGACCCATCTTAAAAGGGTATAGAGCAGTGGTAAATGTATGGAGAGAACAGGGTGTAACCAGTTAAAATAGATTGTAACAAACTGGATCAGCTCCCGTTTGTCATTAAAGTGTGGAGTGGGATGTTGACGTCACACTTTAGGCAGCCATACAAGGATTTCAGCTAAATGTGATTACAGGCCACAATCGGTCATTTTTCTTATTATTGGATTGTTTGTTTTTTATAAAATAAACTGTTTTTAAACACAGGGATCCCTCAAGGTTGTATTTTGTCTCCTGCTGATGTTTTAAGCAACTCCTGTAACATTCAAGGGATGTCACTTTTTAAATCTGCAAACATGGCCCCCAGGACCGACTAGCAGTGAAAAAATGGCTGAAAGTTATTTTTTTACAGCTTCTTGGAACTGAATATCAACAAGAGCAAATACAGGTGCTGGTCATAAAATTAGAATATCATGAAAAAGTAGATTGATTTCAGTAATTCCATTTAAAAATTGAAACTTGTATATTATATTCATACATTACATACAAACTCATATATTTCAGATGTTTATTTTGTTTAATTTTGATGATTACAAATGACAACAAATGAAAATCTCAAATTCATCATATCAGAAAATTAGAATATTACTGAAGACTAATAAAAACAAAGGATTTATAGAAATGTTGGCCAACTGAAAAGTATGAACATGAAAAGTATGAGCATGTACAGCACTCAGTATTTAGTTGGGCCTCCTTTGGCCTGTATTACTGCAGCAATGCGGCGTGGCATGGAGTCGATCAGTCTGTGGCACTGCTCAGGTGTTATGATAGCCCAGGTTGCTCTAATAGTGGCTTTTAGCTCTTCTGAATTGTTGGGTCTGGTGTATTGCATCTTCTTCTTCACAATACCCCATGGATTTTCTATGGGGTTAAGGTCAGGAGAGTTTGCTGGCCAATTAAGAACAGGGATACCATGGTCCTTCAACCAGGTACTGGTAGCTTTGGCACTGTGTGCAGGTGCCAAGTCCTGTTGGAAAATGAAATCTGCATCTCCAAAAAGTTGGTCAGCTGCAGGAAGCATGAAGTGCTCTAAAACTTCCTGGTATGTGGCTGCGTTTACCCTGGACCTCAGAAAACACAATGGACCAACACCAGCAGATGACATGGCACCCCAAACCATCACTGACTGTGGAAACTTTACACTGGACTTCAAGCAACGTGGATGAAGTGCCTCTCTTCTTTTCCTCCAGACTCTGGGACCTTGATTTCCAAAGGAAATGCAAAATTTACTTTCATCAGAGAACATGACTTTGGACCACTCACCAGCAGTCCAGTCCTGTTTCTCTTTAGCCCAGGCAAGACGCTTCTGACGCTGTCTGTGGTTCAAGAGTGGCTTGACACAAGGAATGCGACAGCAGAAACCCATGTCTTTCATACGTCTGTGTGTGGTGGTTCTTGAAGCACTCACTCCAGCTGCAGTCCACTCTTTGTGAATCTCCCCCACATTTTTGAAGGGGTTTTGTTTCACAATCCTCTCCAGGGTGCGGTTATCTCTCTTGCTTGTACACTTTTTTCGAACACATCTTTTCCTTCCCTTCGCCTCTCTATTAATGTGCTTGGACACTGAGCTCTGTGAACAGCCAGCCTCTTTAGCGATGACCTTTTGTGTCTTGCCCTCCTTGTGCAAGGTGTCGATGGTCGTCTTTTGGACAACTGTCAAGTCAGCAGTCTTCCCCATGATTGTGTAGCCTATAGAACTAGACTGAAAGACCATTTAAAGGCTTTTGCAGGTGGTTTGAGTTAATTAGCTGATTAGAGTGTGGCACCAGGGGCCATCAATTTTGAACCTTTTCACAATATTCTAATTTTCTGATATGATGAATTTGAGATTTTCATTTGTTGTCATTTGTAATCATCAAAATTAAACAAAATAAACATCTGAAATATATGAGTTTGTATGTAATGTATGAATATAATATACAAGTTTCACTTTTTAAATGGAATTACTGAAATCAATCTACTTTTTCATGATATTCTAATTTTATGACCAGCACCTGTATATACACAAACTGGTAGAGGGGAGGGGGGCTTGCAGGAAAACTGAAATTCTCTGGGACTTCTAATCTAGTCCGCCAGTGCATTGGAAGGGGTCCATGAAAATATTTTATTTCTTAGGTCGTAAAATAAAATGGGGATCAGTTTTAATTGTGAGGACCTAATAGAAAAATTAAATAGGTTTTTACCAAGCAAAATTAATGTTTTCTGATATGTCTGAGTTAACCAAAACGAGGCAGAAAAATATAGTGGATGTAGAGATAGCCTGGGATCGGTTGTTTTTCTCACTGAGCTTTCGGAGCTCATCAAACCAGCACAGGTGTCTTGATGAAAACAACTAACTTAGTCAGTCGAACTATGATTATTGTTCTGAATTTTGTTCCAAATTCATCAAGTTTAAATGTGATTATAGG